GTATTTAAACAGGATCGTATGGCGAGGTCTGTACGTCGATTAAGTATAATCACGGTAGGTGAAGAAATTGAGACTGTGGACGCATTCACGAGTGGCAATGAACACGATATGGAAACGCACGGATCGAGAACACAGCTCAGCAAAATGATTTAAATTCGTTAGTAGCTTGAAGCTGATCGATTTTTGATTTCACTCTTGGCAGCACGGAAAATAAGAAAAACTTACTTGCAAAACTTCCACTATTTACTGCAAACATTTGAATACTTGAAAAAAATTTTTATTTTTCACGTTCTATTGGCCATGGAATCAGAAGAGCTGTCATTCATGGCGAGGTAACCAAAATTAGAAAATATTTCCGTTAGTACTTGTGGATTGTACTGCCACCAGGAATCAAGAGACTAGAGTGTTAGACACAGTGTTAGGTTACTACCCACAGCATTCCCTTCAGAGCGAACTGGCAGGCTGTCTGCGACGATCAGAGAAGACGCAACATCGATTTATATCTGTGAAGCCGTATACATGTTGTTAAGTGACCTGAGATAACATTTTTGCTGATCGATTCAGTAAAGAAAAAAAATAGCGCACCTGTGCACCTAATCAACTAGTTCATCGCACTACCTTCTGCAATGCTTGCTCGAACTGTGTTTAGAAACTACTACACAGAAATTAAGCACGTGTAATACCTATGATTATCTTCAAAGGCTATGCGCTGAGGTCTGCAACATCTGTGAAATAAACTCGTATTGGTGGAGCATAAGCAGTAATGCTAGAGCTACAAGGGTCCGCTGTGATGACGAAGTAGATATGGAATGGTGCGATGCAACCTGTCTTTAAGTCTGTCTATGAAAATACTCTAACTTGTAGTAATTAGTTAGTAATTAGTCCTGGATATTGCGAAAAAGATGGCGATCCTTACACAAGCGGCGGAAATCAAGTTTCTCTGCTCGACAAACTTCCGACCATTGTAGTCCAAAAACCGAATGAAAGAGTACAAACTCAATTGTACGCAGGCAGTAAAGTTACTTTGGCAAAAGTCAAAAGACAGACTATCGGATAGCTCGAATGTACTGAACACTTATTACTACATCTTACAACCCAAGTAAAATAGCTTGTCTGATATACCTTGGTCAGGTAGTGAACAAAAACCACTTCCTAAATTCTGCTATTTTCGCGACTCTAATGAAACAGCTATCCATGAGAATGAAATAAAAAAACTGATAACAAATGAAAACCAGCCGTTGTTGAAACTCTTCGTGGCTAGGTCTCAGTTATAAATGAACATCCCCTTTCAATCCATGAAACGAAAAAGACGCTTTAAAACTTTGATGACATTTTTATCCACAGCAATCCTGTAATATTAACAGATAAAAACAGATAAATACACAGCAAGTCGATGCAAAATACCGACATTTCTGTAATTCTCAGCCTTCTTCAGTGCGAAAAAAAGTTTGACTTTTCAATCGAGGTATTACATGTTCTTGACAACTGAAAACCGCCACCTCCATTATCCTGAAGAAAGCGCGAGATATCGACCAAAAACTCGGGCATTACTCTATTAGCTGATATGCCTATGACATCATAGTATTGCAGTAAAAAATTCTTGTGTTGTTTCTAGTATCAGTCGCAGAGTCAGAATAAAACACCGAATCTTTGATGACAAACGATCATTCACACTGTTTACGAGTTACAAAACGAATAATACGACTGAGATCGAAGTTCAAATGATGGTGAAGAATCACTTCGCTTTTTGCCTCTTTCAGGTGAAAACTAAATTGTTAGACTGACGTAAACATTGAATTAAAGGTGTGAAGATGACGAATTTTGACACATACCTAGTTTTCTTCTCGGAAAGGGTGACGACCCGCGTAAGGTAATCGAACAGTTCTCCACCTCTGGCACTGAAATAATGAAAGTAACCATTACATATCAAAGATAAGAAAAAAATAAGCCACTCACAGTTCGAAAACGATGAACAGGAACGACGGTACTTCGTAAAAGTCATGCAACTCAACTAAAACGAAAGCGAAAAAGAAATCTTTAACTACTGGTCAAGAAACCGAGTTTTAACTTATGTTCTTGTGTCCGGCGACCATTTTGAGGATGCTGATTTCGCGCAGGGTCGAAAGCCGCAACTCTTTTGTCTCTTCTTCGGTCGCCTTCTCAGAACTAAGGTCGATGATCTTCACGGCGTATTCTTTGCCGGTCTTCTTCTCGATGCAACGTCTGACTGTGCTGCTCATGCCCCTGTAACACGGTCATTTTCGGCACAGTGATGAAGAGCAACTAACCAGATTCTGACTTACCTTCCCAACACTTCTTTCGACTCATAGTTAATGTAATATTCGCATGCCGGCTCTGTCTGTACATCTTCCGTTCTCTCCTCGCTTTCGTTTGGAACCGTCATCCTGGCACCACTGCACGGTCTTCTGCGGGCGTCTCTCTCTGATCTGGAACACAACTGCGCCGTTTATAACCGATAAAACACAAGCTAGGAAACAATTACAAGTACTTCTGATTTTCATTGGTTAATGCAACGACGCGGTATGCAGATCACAGACGCATTGCACTTTCGATCCAAAAGGCAACGGTTACACACGAATAATTGAACCCGCTTCAGTTACACGTAAAATTATTAGAATTCTATGAAACACTCAGCAAACAATCTGTTGTTCTTACCAACTAAAACGCAACAAGGTCTGGCATGAACTATTACAAGCTCTGGGTTCTAAGATTAATACCGTATTTTCCGGACCATAAGGCGCACGGATTATAAGGCGCACTAATTATTAACGCATTATCTAAGAACTTTTTTCATACACAAGGCACCCCGGATTATAAGACGCATAAACCGAGCAAAACAGTCGGGTAGATCAGACTTTATTCAACTCAGACAAACTAACAATAACTGTCAAACTGCTCACCTGTAACAATAACTGCAACAGTAACATTAACAGTCAATACTGTATACTTGTAACACACGTAAAATACCACCAGTGCAGAAAAATGTACCCAATTTTTCAATCATTCCTCTTATATAAATCCGTCAAATTGTTCATCCTCAGTGTTTGAGTTTAACAGTTGGGCGATTGAGGCATCGAGTAAGCCTAGATTCCTCTCCTCATCGTCTGAGTCAGTCTCGTGGTTTCTGTTTGGCTGTTCAATGATGATTTCGGCCTTCGAGAAAGCTCGGACGACAGTTGAGACCGATATTTTGGT